ATACTCTTTATATAAGGTGTATAAAGGTATACAGATAATTCAATTACAATAAAATATATTTAGGATAAAGGTTGAGCATTAAGTTTTTAGAAGTCCAACCTATAGTTACCAACATGAAATAATTCTCCATTTTGCTTTTGATTCAGTTATTGTCTGAGGCAACCAGTTCTGGGGTATAAAGTATGGTCACATAATTCCATACCATGCCTGAAATAATGGTTGGGGCTACCTGGGGAGGAATCTTATCTGGTTCTTTCTGCTTTCACCAGCAGCAGGTTGAGGATGAAGTGAAGTTCCTTCACCTGCCCCTGGTGATGGAGTAGGAGGATGGAGACACCAACAACCTGCGCCACAGTGGGAAAATGAAAAGGTTTAACTATCACCAGGTGTTTCAGGCAGCTGTATAGATGTTGCAGAACCTGTGCAGGTTTGTACACACTTGAAGAGTTGCAGCTGCTGCTCCTGATGCAGCCTGGGGTGAAGTAATTTACAACATATGTGCTGAAAGTTTGGTGCTTAGCTGAGGAAGGACAGAATGTAACAGATTAAAGACAAAGAGCAAATAAAACCCCTAAAGCCCAAAGATCTTCTCCCTAGCCAACAATTAATATAGAGGTAGAAGATCTCCCCATTTAAAAAAAAAAAAAAAGGCAGGGGCTTAACAAACTTTTTGCACTAGAAAGTGTTATCCACTTAAATGTAAAACTACTGCCACCTCATTCACATGTCCTCCTCATCCAGTAACTAGCCTTATTCTGCAAAGCTTCTGCCACCATCTAATTAGGGAGAGAAGTGATCTAGCATGGAACGCCCTCAGCAAGCCAAAACCTGCAAAGAACCTGAAGTACTGTCATCAAAATGCATGCAGACATGAAGAGAAGGAGCTTTTAATGAAGGATGGATTTTAATCAACAAGAGGAAGCACATATTTTATATCTCTACTCTAGAATTGAAAACAACATCACGAAGCCATAATTATGCAGAAAGACTGATGAAATAGACACTTAAAATTCAAGTTCTTCTAAGCTATTTAACAGATGATATGTGGAATTTTACTTAGGATGAAGTCCACCCTCTTTACAAATTCTCATTGAAATGCAAAAGAAATCCTTGAATTCTCAGTTCATCTTGAATAGAGTGTTACTTGCAAGAGAACCAAACAAAAAGTGGCATAATATGATAAAAAATGGTTTAGGAAATAAAATGCCAATGAGTGTGTACTGACAACAGGCTATGAACCATGTTGAAAGACATGTTAAGAGTGAAGAGTTCACCGGAGAAACCCAATGACAAAGCAAAAAACTAGGTATTTGCAGAGATCTGTTTTGATTGCAGGTATTTAAAGGTTTCTTTTTAACAAAAACCATTTTATAAATGGACTAAAAAGCCTCAAACTATAAATTACTGCCATAAAATGATCTAGCCAATATGTATTCATATGTTTCTAGATGTTTGGGGACCAGCATTTCTGTGCAGAGCCCATTAGACCAACAATCTTAACCCACCAGTAGGATTTCTGCTCTGCCAGGAAGGAACAGCTTTGACAAATGCAGCTGCTAATATCAAGGAAATATTGTAGAATAAAAACTCTGACATTTTGCAACCCTGTGAAAAGAAAGCAAGTACACAGCATAATGTACCCAGCATATACTGGCAACATGGGAATCACATGCCTTTGTTGTGAGACTATCCATACTCAATCTTTCTGCACTGACACATAAGTGTACACCAGATATAATTTCCAGTTTATAGCTGCAACTGATCTATAATTTTTTAGATGTAAGTATCAGTATAGTGACTTAGAGATGCAAGTTGGAAAGATACTGGTCCAAGTTGAGTTTGAACTTTATGAACAGATTGAGAGAAATTTGTAAGACAAGCAGTGGCCTCCTAAAAATTTAAATTCTTGCTTAGAAAGTTTCTAATTTTCATTTTGAAGTCACATACTGCCTTCTAAATAGTATTTTCTTTTAAGCTGAAAAAGAAAACTGAGACAAAATGTTCGTGTTTGGACCACAATAATTGAAATGTAAACCCTTTACATTTAGCTCGATTTTCACTAAAAACCAATAATGAACAGATTTCCTTATGTTTCAAACAAACTAGGGTGTTTTTTTTTTCTGGCTATTTGGATTATATTACCTACATGTGCAGCTAAATATAAGTAGTGTTTCTTATCCAAAATGAGGAGGTGTGAACACATGTCAGATTGCAGCAATGATACAAATCAGCCCTAAGAAGTGTGTGAGGTTATTGAGCTCACAGCTGCCATAGAGCCATGCTAACACAGCACTCCTGGGTTAAGCAGTACCAGGAGGTCCTTACCTGGAGCACATATTCCATGGATATAGTTGTGCTGCTGTGGTACATGAGCCAGGCAGCTTGAACAGGCTGCATCCTCTGCACTACGCTCTACCACATCACGTAGGCATCAACAACCTGACAAAACCTGCTACAGGACAACCCCCAGCAATTACTTTAGACACACCATATTCCATGTCCAGCTGTCCAAGGGATCCATTTCAGCAGCCAGTCACTTCAATTACTGTACTCTTCTTCCTTAACTGCAGAACAACAACTTCTTCAGAAATAAATGTTATTACTATCTCTCACAATTAAAAGCTTTCACACCCCAAAAGAATCTCTGCCTTAAGAACACAGCTCTCACTGAAGGCTTGAGATGAAGATTTTTAAAAGCAGCCAGTTTCTGGGAGCTCTCTGCAGAAAGTCAATGCTCAGTGTTTTCTGAATGCTCTGGGAGAAGTCCCAGATAGCAGAGACACCTACTTTACCCATCCAGAAATCTTGGCCTGATACTTTTGTAAAGAGTGTCATAGAAAGTAAATGGCAAATTAATAGGCTCAATACAATTATCCCTGCTGCTCCCATTTAAAAAGGACACGTGGTGCCAAACAGCTGGAACTGTTAGCACCATAATGAGTATTTAATTACCCTGAAGTGCTGTAAATTGTTTTGTATTCCCTTTGTTCAAGCATAACAAAGGGTTAGTGTTTCCCTTAGAAAGTATGCAGCAACAAGTCCGAACTTATAATTAAACTATAACATACAGTGTATGCAAAGAATAGATTCAAGGAGGAGAAAGTCCTGCCCAGAGGCTGCAGCAATTCCCTCAGCAGGCACAACGCAGCTCTCCTGCTGACACCAGCGGAAACAGCAGCGCTGGATGCTGCTTTGGAAAGGAGAGGGCTGTCAGAATAAGAAATTCTTCTCACAAAGCCTCAGAGTTCAGTCTGGCTGTAGATACCCTCATATCTGCTCCTATGCTTTTATTATTCAACTGAAATAAGATAAAAGGGGGAGCATTTTAAAATGATTCTCCCCTGCAGCCGAGAAGTGAGGCTGATGTATCGGGGGGGACAGAAGATGACACAGTTGATCACAGTTTCTTGCTCCTCAGCAGTTCAATGTCTAAAAGCTGACATGACCTCCTATGCATAAATCACACAGACAAGAACTAAACAA